GGACACCGACTAAGGGGCAAAAGTTTTGGGCACTTAAGATACCATATGATTCTTGAGCGGGTTGTGGGATGGTATGACAGATTTTGATCGTCGCTGAAAAATACCTGAAATAATTCCCAAAGACATCACTGAAAGTAGCGACACTTCGATCAAGGGACGGCGTACTCGCATGGAAAACACATGGGTCCTGTGGCAACACGGAAGAAAGCTGCTCAACGACTTTCGGAATAAGCTGAACACCATCCGCGAGAAGATACAGCTGATCTAAAAATCTGAAGTATGCGGAACACTTCCGTTTCCTGACATCTTATAGATAACAACGAGAGACTATAAGAATTCCTCCCACACTGGTATAATAACTAATGTTCCGCAACGAATATGTGCGAAAGCTGAGTCTGCAAAAATTCTGCATCTACGAAATGTGCGGAGATGCTCAAACTCAAACTCAATTACCTTACAAGACCTGAATAACAATTTTCTCAGAGTAATAAAGGATGCACTGTTTGGTACTTTGAATTCTCAAACAGTTACAAACGATAATCCGAAAGATGAACAGAAGCAATTATAACCTAGCCTTCTACCCTCAAACAACACTCCTAGCATTGTATAATTTGTGCTCCCCTGTCATAAGAACTTGCATAAAAGTACATTAATTCATTAACAAATGCGGAATTAGGACAATGTGCCATTTTCCGCAGAAACTAGGGAGTCTTCTGAACAGCACAAAGATACTATTGCATCGGAATACAACTGCGGTTGTGTATTGCCTCAACTGTATTTCTCACTACACTGTTTCGCAAACTGGACAAAACTGAAGAACAAGATACGGAAACAAGTTTTCTGCAGAAGCACATTCGACTAAAGACTCGAGTCAAGTGATTGCAGAGCACCGCACTGTGAAGAACTATGTCATTCATTGGCAAGCACGCGAAATGATTCGGAAAGTGAGAAAGTGAATTAGAGAAAAAGAGTGGAACTGTAATAACAGAACAAGGGAAGTAATAAAATAAACAA